AACACCACACTAGCTGTGCAGTTAGAAATGTGTCCAGATAATGGTCAAATGTCCCCTGAGGGATAGCATTACCTCCTGGTGGAGAACCAATGATTTATAATAATCAGATTTTCAAGTAATTTTACATGGTTGTTTCAGAAGGAAAATGCGGACAGTATCTTTTTAAATTGAAAAAGAAAAAATGCACATTGCCATGAAAAAAAGCAGAAAGATAATGATAGTCTTGAAGTTAGAGATTGTAATGTTTCCTTAATGGCAAAGGATTGTTTGGAGAGTGTTAAGCAATTCCAGAAACTCCACCAGGTCTTCCAGAGCAGCCTCAATCCAACATAGCACTGTCACCTGTACTAAGTCTACCCGAATATTCTACCCCATAGTGAGAGCTTTCTCTTTTGGTTGAGGATTTTGTGGGGTATTTTTTGTTTTGAAATAATTTCACTATGTAGTTCAGGCTGGCCTCAAAGTCAGGATCCCACTAACTTCCTCCTCCCAAGGGCTGTGATTATAGGCATGCACCACTGTGCTCAGGCCAGTAGGATATTTTTTCCGTTTATCCACCCCATCTGTTCCCATTCTCACCCTGTTTTTAGCTGTTTGCAGGATTTGACTTTCCACCTGCCTCTTTACTTAATGCTTATGAAGTAAAGTAGATAATCTCAGTTAACATTCTGGAGTTCACTGTGAGCCTGTATGAATCAACATTTAACTTCTCAGCCAAGCTTTAGGTCGAAGTGCTGTGTGTCTTCTCAACAAATTACAGGAGATTCACCATTGAAAAATTAAGTGTGCAGTGATACTCATACATTCCAAAAGCTACTTCTTATAAACAAATGGATAATGCTTACAATTATTTCTATTATGAATGTTTCTTATTAAAATATATTCTAAATGTAATAAATAATTCTAAAAATCACAAATCACAGGGAAAAACTACTTCAAGTATCTTGAAATCTTTTAATGTATTAGTCAGATTGAAAGGAGAAATATGCAAATGTAGACTGTAGGTGGGTTCAGGAGGTTTCTTCAGATTTAGGGGAAAATAAAGTAGTTTTTTAAATATATATATAAAAGGAATGAACCTACATATTTCAAGATTTGAAATTCATTTAAAACTGATTTTAGTAAATGAAAATTCTATTCATGACACTCAAAATTAAATGGGCAGCTCATACAGTGTTCTGTCAGCCTGCGTTAGAAAACCTGCTTTTACCTTTACAGAAATATGACTCTACAGTGAGTGTGTATTGGGTTTGTCTTACTAAGGTGATGCCAGACATCTTTCTCCATAGCTTTTTCTTCATACCCCAGCTTTTCCTTGCTGCACTGAGGAGCCTGCTTTAACAAAAATAAAAGCCTGTTCGTCCCCATGTTTTTATCATTCTCTGAACATACCTAGCTCGTCAACTTTCATATTAGCATGACTCCAACAGAGTTCTGGGGCTTCAGGCCAGTGCTGAGCAACGAGGGGACAGTGGCTTGCCTCCCTTCTCTTGTAGTGCAGTCTGATGTCAGGGCTGCCTTTTTAGGGGTGCTGGGTCCTCCTTTGTCTGGAGGCAGATTATTGACTGAAGTGCCACCTGTTTTCTTATAGTCAAGAGCTCCCCATGTGGCTGGCTGGAGGGTAACTCAGTTTAGGCTTTTATGGGTTCTCTGTTAAGAACTTAAGGCATGTTATTTTCAGTGGTTTTTTTTTTTTTTCACTGAAAGAGTTGGAACTGTTGTGTGTGGGATATTCTGTTGTATTTGGGCTTGTTATTGTTATGGTGGCAGACGACAACTACCAGGAGGTAGCTCTGGAAAGTGCAACGGTCAAGTTCTAATTTGAGATATCTCAATAGTAAGGGAGAGCCAAGGAAGAAGGAGGAGCAGAAAGAAAGCTGCCGCAAAATGACTCTGAAAGGAGAATTCTGCAAGTGTTTTTGGAAGTTTTGAAAAAAGACCAGTGAATCTGAGTATGATATATTTGATATATTGTAAGAACTTTTATAAATGCCAGAATGTACCCCAGCACAGCAATAAAAATATTAAAAATTTTTTTAAATAAAAAAATAAAGAAAAAAGACCAGTATGGCTGAGACCATTTCTTGTTGCTGGGTGTCTTGAATAAGAAGGAAAGAAGACTATGGGCCAAATTCCAGGTTTGCTGTTGATCTAAGAGCAGTTTCCTTAGAAGGGCAGGGCTATGCCTTCTTCTGATTAGTGATTGGAGTGATTGATGAGGCTAATAAGTGATTGGAGGCCTTCTAATGCTTGGAATGGTCAACAGGAAGTAGATCTAGCAGTCCTTCAGGAGTATCACTGCAGGCTATGTACACATGCACAGATGTGCTCTGTAGGAGGCGGGCCCGATGTGCTGGACCAGCCACCACAGAATTCAGGGGAAGGAGCTCAGACTTGACATTTGTACAAATACACTGGTGCCAACATTTTTTTTTTCCTAATACTGTGGTTTGATGTTCATGTTGGTAGGAGTAATGTATTTAGAATTATTTTATGGGGAAATGAACAGTTGACAAGGTTTCCAGTTAATGCCATACATACCAAAATGGAAGTACATGTCGAGTCTCCCTTGTCCAAAATGCTTGCAACCAGAAGTGTTTGAGATTTCAGATTTTTTTTTTCAGATTTTAGAATATTTGCATGTATATAATGAGACATCTTGGGGATGGGATGCAAGTCTAAATGTGGAATTCATTTCTGTTTTGCATACCCCTTATGCACATAGGCTGAAGGTAATTTTATACCTTTTTTTTTAGCATGCCTGTGTTTTGACCTCAATCTGTCCTGTGAGGTCAGAGGTAAACTTTTCCATCTGTGATGTCATGTTGGCTCTCAAATATTTTTGGATTTTCAGATTAATATGCTTCATTTATATCTATGTCTATCTTTGTATTCATGTTTGATTAGAAAAAGTACAATACTCAATTTTGCTTAAATTTCCTTGATAAGAAAACAGCTATTGAGTTTCCAATATAGTTCTTTGAATTTAGTGAAGTCTCAAAAGCCTTTCTGATCTCTTTTTATGTTGGGGACTCTGGTGTAGATAAGCCTAAAATAATTGTTACAAAGTTTTTTATAGAGCAAAAGTTTGTGTCATAAGTGAGATGGAGGGTGAGAATTCTCCTACATAAGTTGAAATTCAAGTGAACAGTTTTTAAGGATATGTGCCTGGAGTTTTAATAATTTTAGGGAATGTGAGTTAAATTTAATGATGCTATCAAGTGTCTGCCATGTGTGAGACACTATCATCAAGTGCTCTTGCCATTGTGACAGTAGAAGGCCTAATGACAAGCTGAAAGAATCCACAGAAGCTTCATGGAAGGAGAGCCCAAAATTCCAACAGGCAGACAAGAGGAGGCACCCCAAGTGGGATGAGGACCATTGGGAAAGACAGAGTGGCAAGACTGGGAGAGGCAATGTGGTTTATTGGCTTCTGCCTAGACTTTGGAACTGGCAAACCCAATTTCACATTCCCCTTCTAATGCTTAACTGTCCAAGAACCCACAAATTCTAGCATTTGTAAAATGGAGAAAGTACCTACCCCACAGGACATTTGTGGAAAAGTCTTAGGCACATACACATTCAATAAATGCTACTTTTTTTCTGATTTTCTAAAAAGAATGGGATTTCCACTTTCTTAGGAACAAAAGAGAAATTTGGCATAGGGAATTTTTTAGAGATTTTTTTAAAACCATAGAATTATGTTGTTCGTGAGCAAGGAGTAATTTGATAAAATCAATGAAATAAAGCTCATAGAATTGTATGTTAATAAATTAAAATTAAGAAACAAGAGTCTTTAGCTCTGCTATTTTGTTAGAAGCTGGTTAGAGCATTTTGCATGAATACATTGAATTATTAGTGGCCTCCAAACTAGTAATGGGATTTTCCTATGTTATTTATATTAAAGTGCATTTTTTTCTCTGGCTGTAACCCACTTCCATCTGTAATTATGTCCTGCTCGGGCTCATGTGAGTGCTAATTTATAATTGTTCGGTCCTGTTAGCAAAGCATTGTTTTTTAAAGTGTCTATACATGTCCTGAAGAGCCACTGGCAGTGAGAGACAGTTGCAAGGCATATCAAATTTATTCTAGTTATTATCCAGCTTTATCTGTCCCTCTCAGAAAATGTAGTCATCCCATTCGCTTCCTTTTCTTGCCCATCCCCTCCTTCATACTATCATAGAGATAAGAGAATTTTTCCTAAAAGAAGTTGCACAACATTTAAGTCCTGACCCCCTGACCTATCATTCTAGTTCCTGGATACCTGATTTTAGTGTGATGAAGAAATGATCTGTGCTTCTTACATCAAATTGTTGTACAATTTGTGTCCCACATGGACACTGTACATTATGAGACAATGCTTTTTAGCATTTGGAATTATTCTTTCTTCTTGAATTAGAAATAAGAATCAGCAAAAAATTGTTGGGTTCAGGCAGTCACAGCATCATTCACAGAGTGTGTCTGGAGGGATAGTATTTTTGGTAGCAGGAAAATATTATACAAGTGTAATGTTGCATACCAATTAGTTGTATTAAAATACATATTATGCACAGCTCTGTGTTTGGGTTTCAGAGTTTCCTTGACAACATCATTTAACTTCTCACTGTTCTTTTCATGTTGCTAGTATAAATATCTAATATGTTTTTGTTCAAAACATCAATTAGGCTTCAGTATAATCTTTATTAATACAGATCTGTTATTACAAGAAGACTGCTGAGCTATGATAATTTGCACAGCAGGAACAATAAAATATCTTCTCTTTTGTTTCTTTCCCAGATTGCTTGGCATTTTGCTTCTTTTATAAAGCATTCACCAAAAACCTTCTATGATATCTTTTACAATTACAGTGAAATCTTTAGTGAACTTATAAACAAAACCATTATTTCCTCCCAAAAAGAAAAAAAAATTGGAAAGATCCCAAATTGCAGGTAGATTGAAAAAGACACCTGTTAGTTAAAGGTCCCCACTTTTAATATCTTGACTTCTTTTTCTTCATGTAGCCAGAACTCCTCACTTCTTGCGGATTCAGAATGTGGAGGTGAATGCTGGTCAGTTTGCCACCTTCCAGTGCAGTGCCATCGGCAGGACCGTGGCTGGCGACAGGCTTTGGCTACAGGTATGTTAACTGCTTTTCAGTTGGACCTGAAGACAGGCCCTGCCTTCGTTATTCACAAATAGCCAGGTTCCTAGTGCACAGGTGTTCCACATAGCCAGTCATTTTTTTCACTTCTTTTAGGAATTTCTGTTTTTACCCTCACTTTTACTTAGTGATCTCATTCAGCAGATCTCTCGTCAGATGACTTTGAGAATAGTATATTAAGATTCAAGATGTAGTACTTTGTCTTCATTCTTCCTCCTGAGGAAAAAATCCTAAGAATCTCACATGTACAAACACATTCACACAGGGTTTCTAGGCCTTTTTAAAACTTGGATTTCCAAACAAGTCACATAAATGTAAAAACTGATTGCACATCTTTTAATTTCATACATTTAAGATTTATCTATCTGTATATATGTATGTTTTAGTGTAATCATAACTTGTGCAAGCTATTTTACAACCTTTCAAATTCCATCCTATATATTTTGCATGACAAATAGTTTCATGAATCTATCGCTTGTCTTGGGAATTTTGACAGAATAAGTGGCTTTAAATGACCTGTCCTCCACACACAATGCCATCCCCTTCTTTTTTTTCTTTTCTTTTTTTTGTGGTACTGGGGTTTGAACTCAGGGCCTGCACCTTAAGCCACTCCACCAGCCCTTTTATGAAATGGGTTTTTTTGAGATGGAATCTCTTGAACTATTTGCCTGGCCTGACTTTGAACCATGATCCTCCTGATCTCTGCCTCTCGAGTAGGATTGTAAGCGTGAGCCACTGGTGCTCAGCCATCCCCTTCTTTAAGCTCTTGTTTTTGTGGGGTGTTTGTTCCCCCTTGTGTTCTCCAATTCTATTCTCATTTCTTCCTGTTAAATATTAACCTGCAGAGTACATTTTTCCTTTTCTTTCCTTACATTGTTTTATGTGGTATTTTTATTTTTTCTTTGTGTGTTGCTGGGGATTGAACTCAAGGCTTTATGCATGCTGGGCATGTGCTCCACAACTGAACCACTCCCCCACCACTTTCATTTGTTCATTTATTGTAATTTTGAGTTTGCTACTGAGCTGCATTGATCTTTACGGTTTAAACCTGCTGTACCTACTATTCTGTACCACTCAGCTTCCACTTCTTTGTGCCGAATTTTGCTGTTTGTCACCTCTGTACTTCCGATTCTACCTCTCCCTTCTGTGGCAGTGATGATTGTGATGTGTTAGATTTGTTTGACACTATCATTTTTAAATCCCTTACCTTTTAAAATCATCACAACTAAAATAAATAGTCATTTTTATTGCTCTATTTCTAGAGAAAAGGGGAGACAGCCAAATGTACATTCCCAAGAATATATTCTGGTATTTAGAATGTCTCCTAAATACTTGTTGGTTCATCTGCACAGGGTGCCTCACCCTCTGCCTGATGTCACTCTTCTTTTTCATATCCTGTCCCTGTAAGGAAGGAGGAAGTAGGCTGGGAGGAATGTGTGTAGAAGAATGAAATTGTATGTTCCGAATCCATCTTTCCTTTTTTCCTTCTTTCTAAGTTTTGTAATCACTACTTTGAGAGCTTTTTTCAGCATGTGTAAACTGTAAACAGTATTCACCTTTCTTCCCGTTCTATCTTACTTCTCAGTTATTTTAAATTCTTGATGTTAGAGGTGAAGAATAATTTTCTCAGCTAGAGTTGCTTTCTATTAAATGCCATCCAGATTGACTATGTGTGGTGATTAATGATGAGACAGATATCCTTTATTTACTTTTCCAACAAGGCATTAACCACCTTTAAAAAATAAAACTAAGGCAACTGCTGGTGGCTCACGCCTGTAATCCTAACTACTTGGGAGGTTGCAATCCAGAGGATCCCAGTTCCAGGCCAGTCTGGGCCAAAAAAGTTTGTGAGACCCCATTTCAATGGAAAAAAGCTGGGCACACTTGTCATCCTAGCTACAGTAAAATAGGAGTGTAAAATAGGAGGATGGAGGTTCAGGCTGCCTGGGAAAAAAGTGAGACCTTATCTCCAAAATATTCACAGCAAAAAGGGCTGGAGGCATGGCACACGTAGTATGAGTGTCTACCTGGCAAGTGCAAAGCCCTGAGTTCTAATCCCATTACCACCAAACAAAAACTGTTCTTTCCATTTTCATTCTATCTCTAGAGCTATTAATTTTTCTTAGAGAAATAGTTTTTTGTTCTTGATATTTGTATGAATATTACTTGAGAGAACATACTGTGAACTGTGAGCTCTTATCTCCAGAGTCATCTGAGGTACTCCTAAAGATTTTACTGTATGTTGAGGACACGGTTTGTCTTGTTTTATTTTTGCAAATGAGATACTCCTGCTTAAACTTGAATATTTATTTGGGGTTGCAAGTGTTTATTTCCTATTACAGTTGGAGATTTTGTTTTTTTAAAAAAACTTGTCATGTTATTGGAAGAAAGCTAGTTGCTTTTTTGAAGAAAAAAATAGATCTTAATGTAGAGTCTTCAACCCTGCCTCCATTATCACCTGGGGAATTTTTGTTTGTTTGCCTTTTTGCAGTACTGGGGCTTGAATTCAGGGCCTGCACCTTGAGCCACTCCATCAGCCCTTTTTAGTGATGGGTTTTTTCAATAGGGTCTTGTGAACTATTTGTCTGGGCTGGCTTTGAACCATGATTCTCCTGATCTCTGCCTCCTGAATAGCTAGGATTACAGGCGTGAGCCACCAACTCCTGGCTTCACCTGGGAAGTTTTTAAAGAATTTATGAAGCACTTCTAGATTCTAATTTAATAGGTCTGGGTGTCGGGGTCAGCATTCAATAAATCAATAGTGTGGAGCAAAATGCAACATGCATTCTAAATTGGGATAAAGACTGACTTAATAGACAACTAGACCTGTATAATAGTCCTTCTGTATCTGTGGGGGATGGGGTCCCCGATCCTTGTGGATGCTACAGTGTTTGGATGGTTGAGTTCCTTGTGTAAGTGGTGGAGTATTTGTGTATAACCTGTGCAGTCCTTGAGTACATTTACATCATTTCTACATAACACATGATGCCAAATACGATGTCCATGTTGTACAAATACTTGTTCTACTGTGTTATTTAGGGAATTGTGAACAGAAAAAAATCAGCTCATATCTCTCCAGTGCAGATACGGGTTTTCCACATATTTTTGATCCACGGTTAGTTGACTTCTTGGGCATGGAACCTGTGCATGTGGGGTATTTGGAAGCCTCAGAGTGATTTTCAAGTTGAATTTCATGTACTGGGTTGCTGTTTATTTATTTGTTCTATTAAAATAGAATTATAGTGCTCATGAATTTGTTCCTGCTCAGTCCATTAATGCTTTTCATTTTCTACTTCCCATTCTTTTTTTTGCCCTTCTTATCATCTGTGACTGACTGTGTGGTGCCCTACAGATTTCATGAGAGAGAAAGAACTTCTATGACTTTGCATTTTAAGTGACCCCTAGCTTATCCTGCACTCAGGATGCTATTTAGTTTGTGAGTTTTTGTGATGTTAGAATAATTTTATTTTATTATTTTTTTATTCATTTATTCACATGTGCATACATTGTTTGGGCCATTTCTCCCCCCTGACCTCCCTCCCCTTCCCTCTCGCCCCCACCCCCCTCTCAATTCCAGGCAAAACCTGTTCTGCCCTTATCTCTAATTTTGTTGAAAAGAAGACATAAGCATTAATAAGAAAGACAAAGTGTTTTTGCTAGTTGAGATAAGGATAGCTAAACAGAGAGATTCCTAGCATTGCTTCCATATACAAATATATTACATCCCAAGTTGATTCAGCTCTACCTGACCTTTTCACTACTTCCTGATCCTCTTCCCATATTCACTTCTGTAGCTTTAAGGTTTCTGTATTAGCTCCTCTGCAGTGGGGACATCAGTCACTTTAATATTTTGGGTTTCTTACCTATCCCCATACCTCCTGTATATGCTCTCCCCTTGTCATGTGACCCAAGTCCAACCACATTGCTGTATTTGCCCTAGATCTAAAGTCCGCATATGAGGGAGAACATATGATTTTTGGTCTTCTGAGCCTGGCTAACCTTGCTCAGAATGATATTCTCCAGTTCTATCCATATACTTGTGAATGATAAGATTTCATTCTTCTTCATGGCTGAATAAAATTCCATTGTGTATAAATACCACATTTTCTTGATCCGTTCGTCAGTAGTGGGGAATCTTGGCTGTTTCCATAACTTGGCTATTGTGAATAGTACTGCAATAAACATGGGTGTGCAGGTGCTTCTGGAGTAACCTGAGTTGCATTCCTTTGGGTATATCCCCGGGAGTGGGATTGCTGAATCACATGGAGACGGTTTTTTTTTTTTTCATTTTTAGACTTTTTTTTTTTTTTTTTATTATTCATATGTGCATACAAGGCTTGGTTCATTTCTCCCCTGCCCCCACCCCCTCCCTTACCACCCACTCCCCCCTCCCTCCCCCCTCAATACCCAGCAGAAACTATTTTGCCCTTATCTCTAATTTTGTTGTAGAGAGAGTATAAGCAATAATAGGAAGGAACAAGGGGTTTTGCTGGTTGAGATAAGGATAGCTATACAGGGCATTGACTCACATTGATTTCCTGTGCGTGGGTGTTACCTTCTAGGTTAATTCTTTTTGATCTAAACTTTTCTCTAGTTCCTGGTCCCCTTTTCCTATTGGCCTCAGTTGCTTTAAGGTATCTGCTTTAGTTTCTCTGCATTAAGGGCAACAAATGCTAGCTAGTTTGTTAGGTGTCTTACCTATCCTCACCCCTCCCTTGTGTGCTCTCGCTTTTATCATGTGCTCAAGTCCAATCCCCTTGTTGTGTTTGCCCTTGATCTAATGTCCACATATGAGGGAGAACATACGATTTTTGGTCTTTTGGGCCAGGCTAACCTCACTCAGAATGATGTTCTCCAATTCCATCCATTTACCAGCGAATGATAACATTTCGTTCTTCTTCATGGCTGCATAAAATTCCATTGTGTATAGATACCACATTTTCTTAATCCATTCGTCAGTGTGGGGCATCTTGGCT